GGATATCCAGAGCACCTAACCTATCCATGATCAGCTCTTGAGTAGTGGACTTCCTCTGGAGGAGAGGGGGAGAGAGAGGGAGGGAGGGAGAGGGAGAGAGGGGGAGGGAGAGGGGAGAGAGAGAGAGTGGGAGAGGGAGAGAGGGGGAGGGAAAGAGAGAGAGAGAGAGAGAGAGAGAGAGGGAGGGGGAGGGAGGGAGAGAGAGAGAGAGGGAGGGGGGAGGGAGGGAGAGAGAGGGAGAGAGGGAGTGTGAGATAGATAAAGGGTGTGTTACTCCATACAGTATAATGTGTATTGGCTTACATTTCCATTGACTGCTGCATAGACTACTCTTTCCTCAGTGGGCGGTTTATTCTTTGGTGTTCTCTTACCAGCTGCTATTGATAGATCAGCATACAATACTTTATCAGGAGCAGCTGGAGGAGGAATGGGAGGAGGAACAGACTAGGAGAGAGAGGGAGAGGGAGAGAGAGAAGGAGAGAGGGAGAGAGAGGGGGGAGAGTGGTTGTATATAAGTGAAAAAGATACCCAGTGTTACATTATGATTACTTTGTTGTTAACTGATGCATATACCACTGGTTGTTCTTGTGTTGGTGCTGCCTGTGGCCTCTTCCCTTTAGCAGCAATAGCCAGATCAGCATACACTGGCTTATGAGCTGATTCATCAACTAACACCTATTGAATATAACAACAACATGAACCTTATAATGTACATACCTTACTAATACATGTACCTGTACCTTATAATGATGGATATATACTAATGTGCACATACCTTATGTACTAATGCATTTACATGTACTACTGGTATGTGTGTGTATCAGTTACTATAAGGTGGTATAGGATGTCATTACTGAGTGAGTGTAATTTGATATTATTCACCCACTGGCTGGTTGTATAGGGCCCACTGTCATATCAGATTACATGAAAGAAGATACATGTAGGTTCACCTCATTACATTATTAGCTAAAAGGATGTATTCAATTCACCCATTACCCTCTTCCCTTCCTTTATACAATACATTATGTACATGTAGTTCATTAAACCTGATACAATATGTACATGTATCCATACCTGGTTGTTGGTGTCCTTGTTGATGGTTGAATACAGTCCAGTAGGACCAGTAGACAGACCCTGTTGACCCTTATTCTATTAATAATACATTATATGATCCATTTTAAAAGACTCTCTCATTAATGACTGACCTCTCCCTCTCTCTTCAATACAGAGTATTCCTGTACTCCCTCAGGATTATAGGCAGGAGGGACAGGAGGAGGAGTATCATCGTCTTGACTGAGTGTTGAATAAAGTGGACCAGCTCCTTGTTGTTGTTGTTGTTGTTTATTCTTTCTCTATTATACATTATTGTTATTGTATGTCTGGTATTTTGTTTATTGTTTATTTACCCACCTCTCCCTCTCTCCTCAGTTCAGAGTATTCTTGTCTTCCATTAGGATTATAGGCTGGTACTGGTGGGGGAGTATCATCATCATCACTGGCTCTAAGAACACTGTACTGACCTAGTGAATATTGTATA